ATTTTTTTATTTTTTTTAGAACGGTAGAAATATAAAAAAAAAAAAAAAAAAAAAAAAAAAAAAAAAAAAAAAAACTAAAACTAGCAAGAAGCTAGAAATGAAGGTTCAATCAGCATTACAATAAGGTTAAAATTGAGTTTTTAAGCCACAACACCCAATTGAGATGAAACTTAGACCTACTAGAACACCAAATAAATGAATTAGAAACTATGTCATCAAAAAATAAGACTTCTTTCTGGAACCTCATTACCAAAAATGGTTTTATTTCTAAACATCCAAATGTACCACCAAGTAACTGAAAAACACCTTCAAGAACCTCCTCAACTTCTTCAATTTGACAAAATCAAACCACACCTTTTCAGTCTTCAATGGATTGAAAAAATATAAGTGTTCTAATCTCACCAAGCCAAAATGCTTTCGATCACTGCCTTTGCAAAAGGGAAAGAGAAGAAAAGATAATTGACATCTTCAACCATAAGATCAGAAACGAGACACAAAATCGAAGGAACATCCATACCCTTTTTAGTCAAGTTTACCCGAGTAGGTAACCTATCCAAAACATTCTCCAAGAAAACAGGTTAACTTTAATAGGAACCACCCTCACCCGTATAAAAGCCAAAGAAGTGATCCAAGATAAATCAAGTCTATCTAGTGACTAGTTGAATAGACTATGAACCCACCCGAAACTTCAAGAACCCAAACCCATCTATCAAGAAAAGAATTAAGGTTAATTAACTCCAAGCAAGAACTAAGACTAGCAGCTTGCTCAATTTCAGCGCCACCGAAGCAAGGATGACGGAAAGAATCAAACCACAAGATAACACCAAACCTGACAACTACCGAATCATTCTTGTTTAGCTCTAAAGCATGTAAACGAGGGAACTGGTCCTTAAGAGTAATATCACCAATCCACACATCCATCCAAAACAAAGAATCAACACCATTTCCAATAAACTTCTTACAATTTGCAAATAAATCTATCCATTTTTTCAGCAAATCAAGCATAGCATATAAAACAACAACCCAAACAGAGGATCGTTTAGGAAGAATCATATGACCTAAACATCCAATATTTCCATAAATTGCCTGAATAACACGAACCCATAACGCATCTGGATTAGACAAAAACCTCCAAATCCACTTAAATAGAAGCGCTTTGTTTAGGCAAAGAAACTACCACCACCCAAACCCCTATTTTCATTCCCCGCTAGCACCTTATTCCAAGAAATCCAAACAATTTTTTTGTCATGAATATCCACTCCTCTAAAAAACGCACTTCTCAAGGACTCAAGTCTATAAAGAATGCCAACCGGAGCCTTAAAGAGCGACATAAAATAAGAAGGCATGGAACCAGGAACATATTTAATCAAAGTCAAATGCCCCAGCCGAAAGAGAATTAATTTGGCTTCATTGAATTTGTGTGTGGGATTGTGGCTTCATATCTAATAAAAAGAGATGTTATACGACTTCCTTTTAGTAATGTATTCATATAATCATAACTAAATAGACACACCAAATGGATTGTTAAGTAATTCGACTCCTAAAATGGCTTATTGCATAATAGTAGTTAGAAAACGTGTTTCTTCCCCAAAGACTTTAGGGTTTAGGTTCGTTTGTAGTTTAGGATTAGAGTAGGACACTAGTATAGAACCTATTTTTTTCGTGCGATTGATTTTTATATTTTTGGAGCGGTGGTAGCCTAAAACCGCATCATTAAAACACGTCTGCATCAATAAATCAATGAACCGTATCATTTAAGGTATTTGTTGGTGGGGTTTCCCTAAATGGCATTAAAAATGTATTTATTGGTGCGGTTTTTAAAACCGTACCATTAAATCAATCGAAACCGCCACATTTAATCATGTGGAACCGCCTCATTTAATCTTCCTTTTGAAAATTCCGTTCAAAAATTTCCTTTTATTCAAAATTTTCATTTCGCGTTGGATCCTTCAAATTTACAATATCCCTCCCAAATATTCCTTGTGATTTTAATATAGGGATAATGACTTAAAAAGGTAACGAAGTTTCAAAAGTGTACAAAAAAAACCATTGTTGTTTTTTTTGTACACAAAATACCATTTTACCGGCTATTGTAGGTTATCCGGTTTCCAAATGTTCAAAAAATACCATTGTTGTTTTTTTAGTACAAAAAATATCATTAATATTACTATTTGTACACAGAATACCAACAAAATACAAATGTGTTCAACTAAAACACTGTGGTAACCAGGTACTTCAGGTAAATGGGATGAGATGAGCGTAATCAGCAAGTGCTTGTTTAATTTTTGTTGAAATTGTTGGAAAAAGATCTTACATCCACCGTATGATCAGTCGAACAAGATTACAGGTGATGCTTCGGTTGATAAATTTTTCTTCAAATCCGTGATGAGAAGAGCGTAATCAGCAAGTGTTTGTTCGGCTGTTAGATAGGCTAAAGTAGAAGCATTCTTGTATGCCTCTTTCTGGCTTCCATATGGCATCGATTCACCATAATATCGATGTTAGATCAAATCACGCAGCTTTTGATAAAATTGTATGCCTCTTTCTGGCTTCCATATGGCATCGATTCACCATAATATCGATGTCTGCAAGTGAACAAATTAATGTAGAGTAGAGTGATTAGGGCTTTTACTTCGGGGAAGATGACCATGGCACCAAAACGAGGGGCGAGTTCCCAAACGAAGTCGGTGTTGGCAGCGAACCATTCGATGTCGCCTTCGTTGCCGCAATAAACGAAGATTGGGCCCAAACGACTAGGGCCTGGGCCCACCCAGTGATCGGAGTTGATGAGATAACGTTGTTGGAACTTGGGAAGATCATTGAAACTGAAATGATCAAGAGTCTGATCAAAGTATCGTGTCTCGTAAGTGTACTTCGGCTAAACAAGAATTTTTGGGTTTTGAGAAGCCGTGGGGATTTGCCGAGAAACAGAGGTAGCCGGTGAGATTCCGACATTAATGAAAGTAGGCAGATGATTAGGACGAAGAATAAGAAAAACGGTTTTGCCATGGTGGTGGAGGGTGGCGATGAACAACAATAGTGATCGAAGTGAAGTGAATGGTTCTTTATAAAAAGTAGCTAAATTTCAATTACATTCAAATAAGGAAAAATGACTTAAAAAGGTAACGGAATTTAAAAAATGTACAAAAAAGATCATTGTTTTTTTTTTGTACACAAAATACCATTTTACCGGCTATTGTAGGTTACCCACAAGGTATTATTTGAACACATGTGTACTTCATTGGTATTTTGTGTATAAAAAATATACTTTAATGGTATTTTGAGTACTAAAAATAAAATAATGGTATTTTTTGTACATTTTTGAAACTTCATTACCTTTTTAGGTCATTATCCCTTTAATATAAATCTAAGCACACACCAATGGAAACCATAACTCATTGGCATTTTTATTTTTCAGTAGAGTAGTAGATAGGATTTTTTTTGTAAACCTTCCCTACATCATCTTCATCTCGAACCATCAGTCAACCACATGCACCACCGAGACCACTCTCAACCATCACTGGCAGAACCGGAGACCTTCACCACTACAAACCACCTGCCATCACCCTCCATCGCCACATGTTACAGCCGAAGATATCCAATCACAGATAGCACCCATCACACCGTCCACGAACCACCAACCTCTGCCTCAAAACCGGCTGAACCGGTTAACCTTCAAGTCACCCATCACAGCCTCACACACCATTAGTTTCATCCTCACACCTTCTAAACTCAAACTCACCACCGTAAACAACCTCTAACAATCGGAACCTCCACCCTCTTACTTGTTCCAGCTTCGTACAAACTACACCCTAACTGCCACTTTCGACAACCATCACCACATGATACTTACACCACTATCGAACCAAGAAAAAATATAAAAAAGAGGAGGCTGTGTTTTAAGGATCAACATGGTAGTAGATGGGTTGGGGCAGATAATATTTAAATATAAAACCCATTACAATCATAAACTAATATTGAGGCCATACCCTAATATATTAACATAGAGGCCATACCATAATCTATCTGTACTATTAAAAACAACCAAGAAATTACTCGAATTATGACTTCATAAATTGGTGTGTTTATTAATTGGTGTGCTTATAATCTTTTGGTGCGGTATTCATCGTTAAATGTGGGTATCTTTTTAAACGGTTTTCGTCATTTTTTGGGGCAGTTGTATAACCGCAATATATATTAAATAGGGGTGTTTTTTTTCTCCGATATTTGTTGGTGCGGTTCAATACTCGCATCAATTAATCATTTTAACTGCATCAATTAATGATTTTTGTACTAGTGAGAGTGGTTTAAAAAAAATCAGTTATGACTTGGATGTAATTTTATTCAGCATCCTTTGTGCCAATATTTAAAGGTAGAATAATATTTTTTGTATAACGGTTTGAGATGAGTTAAACGTTACTTGATCTATCTCGTTGATGTGCTTCCGGTTAAACATGCATGTACAACGCTGCAGGCGGTGGCTTATGAGATCTTCAAGCGGTTTGGAATCATGCATGACATTGTGTTTTGGAGTCATGCATGTCATAGTGTTTAAAGCTAGCTCACATCTATTGCTTGTCTGTTAATCAATAATTCAAGAAAAATTCAATAATACCAAACATTAACAAATCATGTATATTTTGTTCAATAAATTGGCCAGAGAGAACATGTCCACGTGAGTGACGGAAAACTATTTATAAAAAATTAATAATAAATAATAAAAATGAAGATCAGACGGCAGTATGACCATTAACCAAACAACTTGCATGATAGTTTAATAATTGAAGTGTAACTTTTCGAAGTATATATAAAATACATTACTGAAAAACGTGTATATATAATAGTTTAATGTAAATTGGCCCATAATTTTAAATGAGTTTATATATCTTTTAGGCCATGGTCAAATGAGGTAGGTGCCTAAGCAAACTTCGTTCTGCGTCTATTCACAACCAATTTGGTGCTTCTACATTAACATACATCATCAGAAATCTCAAAAGGCAATGTCTTCTTCAGAAGTAAACCTCGAAACTTATCTAATTCCACTGGAGGTGATCAATCTTGCAACCAAAAATTTCAGTCCGGAAAGATATATTGGAGGTGGTGGATTTGGCAAGGTCTACAAAGGAGAACTTTCTGAAAGATGGCAAAACCGCACAGCTGCTTTCAAACGCCTAGCTCAGAATAGCTACCAAGGAGAGCACGAGTTTCGTAATGAGATTAGTATGATATCCAGATTCCACCATGAAAACATTGTCTCTTTTATTGGTTACTGTGATGAAGTCAACGAGATGATTGTAGTCTATGAGTATGCTATCAATGGAAGCCTAGATCATCATCTTCAAGACCCCAATAAGAGACGCGACATAACATGGACACATCGCCTAAAGATTTGCATTGGGGCAGCAAGAGGACTTGATTACCTTCACTCAGGTCTTGGGGAGCACAACAGAGTAATACATAGAGACGTGAAGAGTGCTAATATATTGTTAGATGATAATTTTGTTGCAAAAATTTGTGATTTTGGTTTGTCAAAATTAGGTCCCAAAAATCTGCCAAATACCCACCTCGACACAAAGGTTGCGGGTACCCAGTTTTACTTGGATCCCACTTACCATGAAAGTCACATCCTTCGAAAAGAATCAGATATATACTCATTTGGTGTAGTACTATTTGAAATGCTTAGTGGGATGCTGGTTTATAGTGAAAGGAGCATTGAAGACAATGGGCCAAAGTTTCTAATGAATTTGGTTAGGCGATACGATGATAACCAAATACACAAGTTAATTGATCCCCAAATGAGAGATCAGATTAGTAGTCGTTCTTTGGATATGTTTAAAGAAATTGCATATCAGTGCATTAGTTTCAATTTAAAGGAACGCCCTGGGATGCACACAGTCATTGCCAGAATTGAAGAAGCTTTGGCCATTCAAGTAAGTATTTTCATTTAATTATGTGATGAATGTTCTTTAATTAGTTATATGCAAATTATTAATCATTTTATGTCGAGATAACATCAGAATAAATTTTGTCCATTGCGTTTTTCTACAACATTCCTTTTTCGGAAGGTCGAGTAGCAAATCTTGATTTCCATTTTTAGAGTACAAAACTAACGCGGTGAATTTCTTAGATGCCCAATTGCTTTCTTTTATTTCTGATGTAATGTAAGTACAGGTAGTAGGTGTAAGTATGCATATTCAAAAATTTCATGCATATGCATAGATCACATTCGTATTTGTAATATCCTTTAATAATTTTCAGAATTCGTCTTCAAAAAAATATTAATGCATATTCTTATATGCATGACCACAATTTTAATAATCATTCATGTCTTTCCCGTATGTATGTATATATACATGTATTTGTTAATTAATATGTACGTTGCATGCATATACACAAATGTTTATGTACAAGTGTTTGTGTATATGTACACAGTATACATCATAAATAGGCGACTATCTTATAAACTATGAAACCTTGTCTTACAATGCATTCCATATTTAGAAACAATATATAGTTGCCTCCTCATATATACCATATCATGAATATTATTAATGACAAATATTATTGTCGTTTTTGTAGGATACGCATGAGGATTTGGAGTTGGATTCTACTACTAGCACCGAAAGCAATACGAAAATGGAATCAACAACAATTGAGGGGGAGGCTATTGCGATGGGATTACAGGTTTGTTTCTACGTTGATGTCAGTTTTAAAAATGTGGGAAAATGAATTATGTTTAATATCTGTGATTTATGGTCTTTAGTAATTTCAAGGTTTATTTGTCTTTAGACCATAAAGAAGGATGATTTGGAGGAGATAAGCCAATTAGAATCCCGTAGTACATATAGAGTTGTTTATCATGGAATGTGGAAGGGTACGGATGTTGCAATTAAGAGAATTAAAGGAAGTTGCTTTGCTAGGAAGTCATCAGAAACGGAACGTATGGTATGGATGTTCTTTTTCCTCTTTCGTTTCTTTCCTTTTGATATTGTATGGTCAAATTGTTCTTTTTACCATGTTTGGTATGGTCAAATTGCTAAGTGGTCATATTTGACATCTTTTTTATTGCTGCAATTTTGAGTGATAATAATGCGTCCATTTTTACAAAACAAATGCCTAATTCTGACGACAGAATGATTCTTTGTGTAAGTGTGACATCATTATTACTAGGGTTTTGGATATAAAAGCACTTTAGAATTTTGAGAATGGTGATAAAGCTTTTAAATTGAATTATTTGGGTGGTACTTACGAAATTTCAATTGGATAACACTTAGAAGAAATGGAAGAACAAAGAATGAGATTATTAAGAATATTCGCTAGTACATTATGACCAAAATTGGTTAAATACATCTTTTATCTAAAAATTGTCACAAGACAATTTTATGTCTGAATACGACATAAAACTGACACAAGGCATTTTCAAACTGTCTCTAAACTGTCACAGAACCGGTTTTAGACAAGGGTCAACAGAATAGTCAAATATCGATCAAGTTTCTAATTTTTGAATCTCTTATGCATTTTTTACAAAGCCACATTACCCAAAGCTCGACCCCACCAGGGGATGCCCCCCCTCCCCTTGGACCCTGCTTCCAGGGGCTTTGTCCCTAAATGACAGTGTACTTTGAATCTTGAACCAAAGTCAAACAAGTGTGCACTCCTCATCTTCTTTATTGTGTTTAATATTTATCAAGATTATATTTGGTCAACACATTAATCCATTACACTTAAATACATATCTGTAATACAAATCACCAACAAATATCAAGAAATTCATGACACAATGTTAGAAAATGCTCTCACTGCCCCAATATATCAAATATGCGTCTGATCTTTAGTTTTGTTTTAAATTAAATATATGATTCAAACATTTATCTTATTTTCATATTAGATTTTCTTTCTTTTCTATAAAATATATTGATATAAAGCCAAAAATAACTCTATTTTTTCTTCTCATGTTTCTCACTTATGTATTTTTCCAAGCAAATGATTGTTCATAACAAAATGCTCTTTTATCACATTTTAGGAAAGACACTTCATGCATATGTAAACAAACCCAATTAAGCATATATTAGTTTAGATGATTTGGGTAATCATAACAAAAAGAGAGGTACCAATATTGTAAACATAGATGTCATTTATTCATTTGTTTTGCAATTTGGTTAAAATTAACTGTTCCATTATTTGATGGTTGCTCCACTTGTCGTCCTCTAACCTTGAGCATACTTCTATTTCGAGTAAATAGATTAAAGATTTCTGGAAGGAGGCCTTGGTTTTAAGTTCTCTGCACCACCCAAATGTTGTTACCTTCTATGGTATAGTTCGTGATGAGCCAGATGACTCTTTGACAACTATAACAGAGTACATGGTTGATGGATCTTTAAAGCAATTTTTAAAGAAAAAAGACAGGTACCTATTTTGTCAAATGCTTTGTGAAAATTTAAATTATATATTTTGAATGATTAAAAAACACTTATGAACAGAACAATAGATCAACGTGAAAGACTTATCATAGCCATGGATACGGCTTCTGGAATGGATTATTTGCATGGAAAAAATGTCATCCATTTCGACCTAAGGTGTGAGAATCTTCTTGTAAATATGAGAGATCCACATAGACCAATTTGCAAGGTATACATGTGGACAATCAACTATAGAGAGAGTACATTCATTTTGTTACATCTAAAAATGAAATTTTTTGCACTTTGCAGTACTTATTTCAGAACTAAAAGGGGTGCATTCATTCTTACATATGTTTCTTTTGTGAGCGTTCTAGATTGGAGATCTTCGCCTATCCAAGATAAAACGACACAATTTAGTGAATGGTGATAATCGTGGAACCGTGCAATGGATGGCACCTGAGCTTCTTAATGATGAGAGTCACTTGGTAACAGAAAAGGTATATTGCAATAATAACCTTTATGATCATTACTTTTCGTTGTACATATTTATCGTAATATCGTTTATCTTTGGCATTTTATTTCCAAAATTTAGGTTGACGTTTATTCGTTTGGGGTTGTCATGTGGGAATTGCTTACCGGAGACGAACCTTACAACAATATGCATCATAAGTCTATTATTGGTATGTTCATTAGTTATTTTATCACAATACATTTTTGAAAAATGATTTTTTTGTCAATGATAAAATGAAATGTTTACATTTTTATGGTGTATTTGGTTCGACAGAAGGAATCATCAAGAACACATTACGACCAGCAATACCAACTTGGTGTGATGCTGAATGGAAGTCATTAATGGAGAGTTGTTGGTCTTCTGATCCGCAAGAGAGACTGCCATTTTCAGAAATTGCTCAAAAACTAAGAACCATGGTTGTAGCAATGAATGTCAAATGATATTCTATTCAATAAATGAACCCTTCTTCACTTCTTTTATGCGTGCCAATGGGTCATGTTATTTTTTGAACGAGGAATATGTATTAATTAAATGGGAAACTAGCAATTGCCTTGACTAAGCCCCAAAGAGCATTGTAGTGAAAAAAAGAAACATAAAATATTAGAAAGGTGAAATGCACAAAGTACACCAATCTAAACTAAGAAGCTTCACCCTTTTTATGATCCAATGAAATCTATTCGCCTTTATTTGCTCTATAATTTTGTGGTGCATTGGGGTGACATTGTTAAAAACTTTGTCATCCGTAGCTTTCTAAATAAATCAACATACGGAAATTAAAATTGCCTTAATCAATTTTTTCTTCACCAAAGATCTGTTGAGGAAACCTAAGATGTGTTTTACCTATTTGTTGTGGTGTGGTTCATTTGACAAGAAGAGGAGATCTCGTCCCATACAGATTAAGCAAACTGCCAGTAGACAGTTAAAGAAACAATTAAGTGTTCAATTGTTTTCATTTTGTTGGAATGTGTGGAAAACCCTCAATTAGGGTTGCTTGTATAGATTGCATTAAATACATATACAAGTTATAGTAGGATCCCTATATTGTATAAATATAATATAAACAATCAAGAATATATAAAGTATCTAACACACACACTTCCGTAGATTGAGTAGGGGTTCTCGAATGTGTAAACTATATATGAAATCAAGGAACATTTGTGTATAGGTAGACCCTTCGTGAAGATATATGCATACCGATACACAGATAGAACATGCAAAACATGCACATGACCAAATGCATCACTCTCCCTAAAAATTTAAGTTTATTTCCACATTCTTGGTCCTCTACTGATGAACCGGGTTAGATGCTTGATACATGGCACTGACGTTATCATAAAAGACAACATAGGCACTTGATAGCAGGAAAGATAACTCTAGAAGGAGATTTTGAAATCAAACAACTTCAACAATTATATTAGCCACCCTCAGTAGTCAACTTCGACACTAGATCAAGACACGACATGTTGTCGTTTTGAGGACCTGGAGACGAGATTATCGCCAAGACAAACATAAAATCAAGAAGTAGACCGACAACTAGTAGGACTACATGCCTAATCAACATATGAATATGAGTTCAAGCGATCAACGGCTAACAGATGAAAGTCAATACCATGCAAAAGGTACCTTTGAGAAGATGAAGAATACGTTTGAGAGCCAAGAAATGCGGTTTATATGGGTTATTCATAAAAAGGAAGGCTTGTTGATGGAATAAAATATATCTTGACAAGTAAAAGTAAGATATTGGAGGGCTCCTTCAACGATTCGCTAGAGTCAGATTATATTCAGGCTCACCATAAGCTCACCATAAGTAGGCATCTTCATTTTAGTTTAAACCCTAGTGTGGCAAGGATTGCATGTAACCATATTAGCACGTGCAAAATCTCAAACGCAAAAGTAGTTTGAGAGAGTAAAATATTGGAGGCAATGTAAGAGGCGGCAACACCCGTAAAAAGAAAGATAGAGACCCTAGATAAAATATGGGACAATCAACAAAAAATGAGACACAATTGTAGATATGAGAGATAAGGAAGATGTATTAAGGATAATATCATCGACATATAGAAATCATGTACATAGTATTCGACCCACAATGAAAAGTGAAGTGAGAGCTATCAAATTTAATGTTAAGAAATCTAAGAGATGACATATAGACATCAACACATTGATACCATGCACGAGGTACTTCTTGAGACCATAAACACCCAAATTCTAATTGAGCTTTTCCATCCTATGTTTGGTGGTTTAAGTCCAAGTAAATGTAGAAGTAAGGAGTGAAGTGAGACTCACAAAAGATAATTAATCACAAAGATCCTTCTGAGGCACGATGAACCTAGTAAGGGTGTGGGGCATCCCCACGGTTTGGATTAGACTTCGGTGTTGATCTTACAACCTTGGAGAACCAAGTTCATTTATGCTATCCATAGTGCCATTGGCGCAACCCAAATATTTAGGTTGGCAACACTATAAATACATCTCTTTTATAATAACCTGAATGCAATAAGTGATAGTGAGACGAAATTGTTAGTATAGCAAATACATAGATTGTATATACTATATATAACATTGATTATCAATATGGAATCTTTTTTATTTATTTGTGTGTTTAGCTTTCTTAATCTAATAAACTAAATCACCTTAAATTTCCTTATGTTCTTGTTATACTTGTTATTATCATCTCCATTATTTTGCTTCAGTTTTTCTACAACGTCCCAAAAATCAAGACCAAAAATTTTAATTTGTAGACTAATAAAACCATTTTTTAAACATCTTCACATAACCATAATAGCATCAAAGTGTAATCAAAACATCCATATACATCAGAGTCAAACAAAATGCAGAAACAAAATGCAGAACAATGTGGTGTCTGCGATGTGATCACCCCGAGCTCTTCCCTTTGGATCTAGAAGTACCCGAAACATAAACTAAAAATAGTAAGCACCAAGCTTAGCAAGTTCCCTAAAATATCACATACCATACATATCAACACATAATGGTCCCCGCTCGGCATCGATCCCTTCTCGGAACAAATATGTCAATAAATAATGAACCCCACCCGGTATACATACAAAAACATAAACACATGCAAGAATCAAAAAGATAAATAGCATACAAGATAGTCATCAGGTCCCTCCTGGTATACATATCAAAAATCGTACATCCAGAGTCATGCAGACAACTAGCATCCTAATCATAATAAACCATGAGGCGGCATTGGTGCCTACGACCCGATAAACATAGTGAGGAAACTCACATTAAGCTGTTGAATATCTCAAATAAAAGCTTGGACTGTTGATCAAGAAAAAGCCCACGCTAACCAATCAAATAAAACCGAATCAACAAGTTGGGCCATAAACCAAAGCTATGAATCTTATTCGTTAGTCCAACACCCATGGTAAAAGAGCATTTTACCCTTTCCTTACTTGGCCCAATAACCAGGCCCAACCCAAAAACTCCAAAGCCTAATACAGCCTAAAATCCAAAATGGTACCCAAAGCCCATTATGGGCCAATCCAAGAAGGCCCAATGTCCAACAACAGCCCAAAGTACAAAAATGATCCATAAAAGTTAAGGGTCCAAGCCCAATCAAAACATAACCCAAAATAAACCAAGACCACACTCCTTGGACCAACTTACTAGTGTACACTCGGCGTACCAGGCTCGTATGCCATGCATACGCGATCGATCCGGAAACGGGGCTCGCACCCAGTACACTCAGCATACCTAGGAGTATGCCCCACGTACTGGTCTGATTTCAAACTATTTGCCAAATGACTTAACCACTTAAGAACTTATCAGACAACTGACAAAATAAAACCATATTATGCCCCTAACCCATAAAGTCGAAGACCTTAAGCCTTTTCATGGCTAAAAGCACCCCAAGGTCCAATTCTAGCATCTTAACACCATTAAGAGGAACATCAACCTTGCATGGTCGAACAAAACCTATCAAGTTATCATTTTTTGTACAAGGGGACTCTGAAAAGCCTAGATATACCATCTCAAGTTGTCGGGGTAGTCGATACTCCCGAACAAGGCTTGATGGACCCAAAAATGCATAAACATGGTCCTATACTAGATCTAGCATAAGAAGTCATCAAGTTGAGACCTTTATACCTCAAATGGATTGCAAAGTTGATGATGGTTCTGGATCAACAAGCTCAAGCCATACTAAAATAACCTCCAAGTGTTCTTCCTTCAAATCACCAAAAACAAAACAAAAACTCACTTCCAAACTCAAAACTCACAAATGGCAATTAGGGTTTCATTCTTAGGTTTTAAAGGAGTGGATGCTGACCAAAAGATACCCCCAAGGAAACATAAGTTGTTTAAATACATCACAAAACCTAAAAAATAGGGCTCCCCCCCCCCCGCTTAGCGTACACCTTGTGTACTCCCATGGATGCACAACGTACGTGGGCGCCTACGCGACCATCTATCGAGCCAGTACGCGCAGCGTACTCGGATAGATACTAAAATGAAAATGTCACACCCCCAAACCGTGGAAAAAAATGGCGGAAACTTCCGGGGAGGGGTGACGTCATTCGTAGTATCATAACAATTGCATCATAGTAATCTAAGTAAATACAACCACTACATTGCATCTAAATATTTACATCTATTTGAAAAACATAGTTGTATACATCAAAATGAAACAAAAGAAAAAGACAAGACTCCAAAATACTTCGTATTCTCCAAAAACTAGCAAGGGTACCTGTCTATCGTTGTCCTGAGAATACAAGCGGTTTTGAAAACGTATCAACATACAGCTGGTGAGTTCATAAGCATATTTTTATAATGAAAACTAGTCACTGAATTTGCATAATTAATTCATTTTCATTATATGTAAAACATCATTTGTATCGAAAACCTGGTTACCACCAGTATGAAAAATGTATTTCGTTTGAAAACTCTGGCTACCACCAGTAGGTAAAGTACGTTCTATTTGGCTGGTAAGATTCCTTATTTTCCCTGGATATAGGCGATAGTTGCTTTAATGGTTTCTAAATCGTAAGGCATAAGTAGCATACTTATGTTATTAAATCAAATAGTTATGAAAGGTATATTATTCTGTAAAAGAGTCGTAGATTTGGGGGGTTTTATGACCATACTTAAACTTGACACGATGTGAAATGGATGCCGAAATCCTTTATGACATTTTTCACCCATAGACCTTTTGGTCCGACTATAGCTAGCAGCCAGGTGCGGGGTAGTCAGTCCTGTATAGATCTATATACAAAGGCCACACTTTCCCTCCAGGAAATTTTGTTTCATAAGGATAGTCCTCCACTTAGGTTATGTTGTAAGCACCCAAGGACGTGTCTCCCAATTAAGTTGACAATATTACGAGTAATAATATATTTAAGTTGACTGATCGTTCGAATGAAAATCTGGTGTATATTTTGTAAGGTAAAATAATTATACTAAAATAATTATTTCCAGTTGTACTCTTGTAGAATTGTACGGCATAAACTAAATTTGTGATAGTTTACGTATTCATTCGTATACATAGCTTCTA